CATCAGTCAGTTGCTTTTAAAAAAGTATAATTGATGTATATAGTGTATATAGTGTTTTATTTTAATATTTGTACATTCAATTTCTTGAATTTTACTGCTAAATACTGTACCTGAAAAATAAAATGTTGTAAATACTGCTAAATACTGTACCTGAAAAATGTTCTTATTTTCTAATAACAAAGATAAAATAATGACAAAGATTTTTATCTTTGCTAACTTTGCCTAAATGTCTGCCATTGTTTTTTATTTTATATTTTGTTAAGGTGTAAGAGGTGTTATGTTTCTGCACTCTTCCATTTTTAGCAAATTAAGAAAACTTTGTCTAAAACAATTTTTGTGATGGTTTGTATTTTTTTGTGCTCTGTATGGAACATCAGTGCCTGTTTAAGTGATGAACTCCATTACTTGTGTTTGTTTCAGACATGATAACAGACGTTTTATACTTGTGCTACAACTTTTTGGCCTGTGCTACAAAACTTTCAACCTCTGTAGCACCAGTGCTATGTGAAAAAAAAGTTAACGTACAGCTCTGATTTAGATATTTATTTTGTTAAGGAAAATTTATGGTCTGGTTTCTACAACTTTCACTTTGGAGCAATAATTTGGCTTTAAACGTGAAAGAAAGAAATATTTGACATTTATCGTGGTAATTATCGATATCGACTGATGTGAAAAAAATTATCGTGATCATTTTTTTTGGCTATATCGCCCAGCCCTAATGCTAGGTTTTATTTAAACAGATTTGGTGTGGATTTATTCATTGCATGTTGGCTAAATTTGAACTCAACATATTCCAAGTCCTAACCTATGATCTCCCCTTTCCTTCAACAAATTTAAATCTCAGCTATTCAAAATCTTACATTTACCACCTGAACTAGGTATGTAATTACTTATTTTTTTTCCAAAGGCTCTTGTAGATTGACGAACAGATTAATTTTGTTGTTGGCAATACAATCTTAAACCCTCCAACATGTTGCACAGTGTGATTATAATCCTGACAAAAGGTACATAAGCTTTGAGCACTAGACAAATGACTTATAAAACATTTTACAAGCTCCTCTATAATAAAAAAGACACTTAGAAACTCATTTTCCACAAGTATCAAAGCCCAAAAGGCACTGAAATGAAGGAACGACCCAGTTTTGAATCTTAAGTAAGTGCGCCACCTGCTGTTCAAGGATCTCCATATAACAAGAGAGCTCTTCATATTTTATATAAAATAAAATGTAGACTTGTATTAGTCCCTCTATATACTTTTCACTTTAAAAGTGCATATGGCTCCAGCTTAATGTATCCAAACATGAAAAGTCTGTTTAAATATGGTAATAAGGTATAAAAACACTTAAAATGGCAGAGAAAAAGCATTTATATTAGCAATGCAGCATGTGAAAAAAAAAAATATATATATTTTTTTAATCATATTTCATTCAGTCTAGACTGTGTACTGCATTTTCATATATACCTCCTTTTGAATATCCCAATCCTAAACATTTTTCTAACTGAGCAACGTGAAGCCGTTACTCAATTCAAATAGTTTCACATTTAAAGCAAATTCATACACTGATTTCTCATTCTGTATCCTGTAACAACAAACAGATGGTGAGAAACTAGTTAGTGAAACCAGTGAGTCAGAGGTCTCTCCAAAATACAGGAAGGTCGAAAAGAAAGGTTGTTAACCACATGACTGATAAAGCATACAGATGTAGAATGTGAAAAGGTCAGGATGTTTAACTTCAGAAATTAAGAGACAAGAGTAAAAGCAAGAAACAGAAACATTTATTGAAGACAGAAAAAGTATGAGCATCTATATCAGAAGAAGGTTAAGCTCTCAAGAGGGCAATTACATGTTCAGACACAATGTGTTGGAATCTCTTTTAATATTGTGTAATAAAAAAGGAAGGCTCTACAATGAGCTGAATGTCTCCTATAACCTTATCAAAATATACATGTTTGACAGAAATTATGTTGATTTTCAATTACTTGTACAAAACTAATTATATACAGTAGCCCTCACCCACTCTGCTTCTCAACATTACATTCATACTGGGAAAAACAAGGAAGTTTAACTAACGCAATAGAAAGGAGCTCTGCTGCTACTTTAAGACTTTTGTTTGGTTCTGTTCTCTGATAACAGAAATAATCATTTGAAACATATTTAAGGCCAAAAAACCCTGCAACGTCTTCTCTAATTTGTAATAATTTCTTTTGAAGATCTTGTGTTGGTTCTTGTAAACAAAGGCAATAATATACATCTACGCCTTCAAATTTTTTCGCCTTCTGCCCACTGAAATCAAAGCGGTTGATAAAACAACGTCGCTGCACAGTAAAGATACAAGATATCAAATAAAATATCAAAAACTGGCTCGCAGAACAGGGAAGATGCTTTGGTCCATCATGCTACTCTTCAGAAGAAAAAAAAAAATGAATGAATATCCACACAAACAAGCTTAACACCTGTCAGTAACACCAATATTCTGCTAAATTGCAAAGGATAAAAGAAACAAAGAATTTCCCCCATAGTACAAGCTGAAAAGAAAAAGGGAATGTCTGCGCATCAAGACTCATGCCACAATCAACATGAAATGGATGCATCAGAAAGAACAACGCCTTAATATTTCCCCCCACACAAAGAAGTGCTATAAACAGTCTGAAGTCTTATCACAGGTGTTGCGGTTCACACAAAAGATTAAGACTCTGCAATGCTAATATTCTTTAACACAAAAGGCAAGTGACAGAAATGGACACAGTAGAAACATGCGCTCTGGAAGGTCCAAATAAACGGTTTACAAGTTCATTATAACTCTAGTGAACTTGACTTCCTTTGCCACACTCAACATAACCAAAATGATGTAAAGCAGTTGCAAGCGGTTTTGTAATCAACAAAACCTTCAATAAGCAACAGGGAAAAGTGTGTGAATGGAAAATATGGTGGTCTAGACCAGCGTTCCTCAAATCTTGCCCTGGAGGGCCAATGCGCTGCAGAGTTTAGCTCCAACCCTGATCAAACTCACCTACCTGTGATTTTCTAATGATCCTGAAGACATTGATTAGCTTGCTCAGGTGTGTTTGATTAGGGTTAGAGCTAAACTCTGCAGGAAAGTGGATCTCGTGGGCCAGATTTGAGGATCCCTGGTCTAGACCCAGAGAGCGCAGCGGGCCAATGCCCAAAAAGATGATACAGTATACAAATGTGTGAGACTTAAAATAATATGGAAACTAAAGAATATAGAATATCTTAGAAAATGGTAAATAAGGAGTAGGAACCACATATATAGAATAACTATGCGCAAAATAAGCTGTGACAGTCAGGTACAAAACCAAAGCCTGTAAGGAACTCTGAACTAGTTGCTGCCTTTCACAGGAAAACAATCCTGCTCTTTCACTAGTCAAATTTAAACCGAGACCACCTGGGAAAATCAGGCAGTCTTTTTTTGTATGTATGAGGTTAATGGTTCCTGCAAAGAAGCCAAAAACATCAAGACATTACTAAGGCCATTAAGATGATATACTTTAAGCACCATGTAAGGCACAGTGACTTTTTTTGGAAAGGCAAATAAGAAATATCTTCGAAAAAGTTAATTATAGGTTCAACAAACAAAACAAGGCTTTGCGTGTGCAACCTGAAAGGGCGCGGCTTTCCGCAGAGGCACAAGTGTAAACTATGCAGCATCTATGATCCAAAACCGATGTGTGCCAATGATCAACTAAATCATGAGACAAACCGTGTGAGAAAAGGTACTATCAAAACCCAAGTCATGTTGGGTTCAAAGTGGAATTACAAATAGACATACATATTTGAATATAGATATAATAAAGGAATGATGAAGTGTGTGTTGTGGAATACATTTGTCCACAGTGATATAAATTGTGGAAGGCTTAAAGTTTGGTTTAAAGTGACAGTCCTTTCACCTTCTCTAAAACAAAAGCCTCCATCAGATGGTGGACTTGGAGAAAGACACTCTGAGGTGATGGTTCTCTCCCAGGTCGTGATTGTGAAATTTGATCAGAGACTCGATTGCTTCCTCCACAGAGCCCAACTGGATAAGAGCCATTTTTCGGTCTTTCCTGAAAGAATTGACAACATTTTAAGACTTCCAGGAAATATCATGGCAACATCTGTTGAACTCAAATTTGTAGAATGTCTTACTGGAAAAACTTGAAGGCCTTAACCACAGCTCCTGAACTTAGAAACAAGTCTCTGAGATGATCCTCGGTGACACAAGGTCTGCAAAGAGAAGACATTGGTGTTAAATAAGTCAATGCTAAAGACTACCAAACAGATTGGTCTAAGTCAGGGGTTTTCAACCTTTTAGGACATGCGCCCCCCCAAGTTTGTACACCATGACTACATCTGTAGAACTCAAACTTGTAGAATGTCTTACTGGAAAAACTTAAAGGCCTTAACCACCGCTCCTGAACTTAGAAACAAGCCTCTGAGATGATCCTCAGTGACAGAAGGTCTGCAAAGAGAAGACATTGGTGTTAAATAAGACACTGCTAAAGACTGCCAAACAGATTGGTCTGAATTTAGTTGACTCACGGTATATTGGAAAGATGGAGAGTAGAGGAAGGAGGGAAGATGTTGGAGTAGTTCTTGGAGCCTGGCTTTTTGAAGCGGTGAAGAGGAGAGTTGCTGTAGTCCTTGGTGAGCCCCTGATCCTCATGGCCTTCACGTGGCAGCTGCACAGTGGTGTGTTTGGAGAGAGTGGCCCGCAAAGCCTTACCATACAGTTTCTGCCCATTCAAGTGGCTCATGGCTAAAAAGGACAAGACAGGTTAGTGTTGCAGAATCAAGCTTCTTCGAAAAATTCAAGTTACTAAAAGTTAAAAATATGAAGAGCATTATGAATACCTAGCTGGGCTTGGGTTCCATCAGACATCTGCACCAAAGCATTCTCTTTCTTGTTGAATAGGATCTTCACTCTCATGACGTCACCATACACGCCTACAAAAAAATAACGATAGCTACGTGAGGACAGGATTACTTTATGAGCAGTTAATTGATTACAACCAAAAACTACTTTTCACTTTAGTATCTAGAAATTAAGTAATTTTATGGTTAAGTAAGGCATGCAATACTGTTGGTAAGAGACTATATTTCTATTTTGGCCCACCTCTACCTAAACAAAATTCTATTAAAACAAACACAGATCGACACTTTTGGAAAGATGTACTCCAAAAGAAATCTTGAATGGTTTTAATACTACTCTTGGGACTGGGGGGAAATTTGTACTTTAACTCTGATGATTGACAAAACATAAGAATCAAACACAGCTTTCTAAAGATTATAAAATGTAATATTCAATGTGGCTTTATTGAGAGGGCATGGCATTCATAATAGGTAAAAAGCTACTTTAAAACTGGATACAACAGCAAGTTGGCCAAGGATTAGTTCACACTAAGCAACTAATATGAACATGATATATCACATCACATGATATATAGCTGTTGGCAATAGATATTTAGCATCTGCCAAATGAAGGAGCCTAAAAGGCTCCAGCTGATATGCCAGTTCCTCTAAAACCCCACATATTTCACATATACAAACCAAAGTACACATCTTAGATGAAGTTAAAATATGAAACAAAAAGGTAATAAAAAAGGAGATACCAATGATAACATACCGAAAAGAATAAAGAGGCATTGGGGCGTAACGCTCTTAAGACAGCAGAGGAAGGCAGCGTAGGGAGGAAGGGACAGGAAAAGATCGGAGGCAGGACAGTGGAGGTTGAACATGTCCACAGCGAGGCAGTTCCACAGGAATGGCGAAAAACGGTGGTAGGATCATGAAGGTGGGTGATATTGTTCATGATGGAAAGGTGGGGGAAGGGTAGAGGTAAAGGAGGAGGATATCCGACAACAGTGATGGTGGGTTGGGGATGTTGTTGTGTGTTGGTTGTACAGCAGATAAATTGTATATGCATCCAATATTGGCGTGAATTGGGACCCATATTGTTTGAGTTGGTAGGGAGTTTAACATTAACAAATATTATTAAAAAAAGTGGTGCAGTCAGTTGGCAAAAGATTCCAGGTCAAGGTATTAAAATAATAAAAGGGGGAAGGGGAATGGGGAGGGAGAGAAACAAGAAAAAGTAAAAAAAAACAAGGTCAATATACACAAAGAAAAATGTAGTGTTCCATTCAGCAGAACTTGCTAAATTAAATACATTTCACTATAGGAACACTAAGGAAATAAAAGAAAGTAGAGAAGATTAACAATGAAATACAGGAAAGATAGAGACTATATATACTCATAGCTCTAAAGAAACACTAGAAATGAAATGTTTTAGATGGCTTCAGACAAGAGTCAACAAATATTAAGAAACGGTTGACATGCATGTTTGTATAATAGCAAACGAGCCTCCACACTGTCATAAACGCACAGTACATGATTTGAAGAGCTCCAGAATTATTTTGTTAATCACTAGATGCCATCTAATTATTTCCCACCAACACTTTTTCTTTTCTCTATTTTTGTCTATCAACTATACAGTTCTAACCGAAATCATGTCTGGCTTACTGAAACATAAACCAGAGCCTAATGAACTAACAGCTAAGCGAATTTAAACTATTCCAAAAAGGGACTAACCTCAGGGTTAAGGTTGCTGACCAGCAGGACACTGTTTCCTCCAGCAGCGAGACCAGAAAGACTCAGGCGTCCTGCTGCAGCAGCAGCCGCGGCGGCACCGTGGACACCAAGCGATGCAAGAGCCCCGGCAGGCATACCCTGCAGAGACAGACCTGTGGGAGGGACACCCGTCAGTATACAGCATGTATAATACGCTGAGAAACTGTGCCACTGCAATCCACAGAGATCCATTATAAAGGCTGTGACCGACCTGCTGCCTGCTGAATGGCAAATGTTGGTGGGAAACCATGAGCCCCAGCATATGGTGATGCAGAGATAATACCAGGAGCAGCTGAGAGGGACGAACAAATGATAAACTTATGCATAAGTTTATCATTTGTTCGTATTTACACAAGCAAGCGAATTTTAAACAATTCCAGAGAGAAAAGGCAAAAGGGAACTCGATTCGTTACTCGCGCACTGTTCTCTACGCGCACAGCCGCACACTCGTTTCAGACGGTGCGCGAACATCAAACTGAATCCTCTGAACAAACACATACACATAACATTATGACAAAATACCTATCTTGACAATCATTCAGGTAAACGCAGTCAGTTATGTCTCAAGTGAATGACACTTGAGAAAGAAATCGGATGTGATGTGTATCATTATATTGGATCCGTGCATCAGGTCTTAAAGGGACAGCGGCCTATAAATACTGCTGCTGTCATTAATGATCATCAAACAACAAAACAGCTGTGATAAAAATCTATATTTAATTTATACAGTGAGCACTATGCAGTCATTTTCCCTAATTATTACATTTCTGTATTTGAATACTACCAACCTTATTTTAGTTGTAACATATTCTGTTGTATTTATCTATGCTTGTAATTTGTGTATTTGTTCTTATGATTAAAGAGACAAGAGAACAGCCAGTAAAAATGTTTAAACTTTAGTTAATCTAGTAGTATTTGCTGTGGTATCAAAGTAGTACTTCGCTTTAAATAATAAATGGAAAGCAAGTTAAATTGAAATATTTTTCTTTTCTTGCTGATCTGAAAAATTATCCGATCCGTGGGTCAAAAACTGTAATGTGATCCGAACCGTGAGATTTGTGATCCGTTGAACCACTAGTTTGAAGGAGAGTTAGCACCTGGTGAAGAACGTCAAGAGTAACTGGGTAGAAGAGGTTTTCAACAATGACTCTCAGTACAGGGCTTTGGCTGCCCATGCCTGCTCCATCAACAGTGCTCAAAGGCATGCTTCCTGTCTGGACCGCATTCACCGCCTGCAGTGCTGCCTGTGCTCTCTATGGGAACGGAGGGGTCAGAGAACAAGCATACATTATCAGTCTTGAACAAGTCATTTATATGGAGTAATTGCCCTTGATTGATCGCCTAATGTGATGTAATTTGTACTCACAACTTGGTTGGGTGAGTTGTCAGTCTTTAGCTCCTTGTGATTGGAATACTGCATATAGATCGGGTGGTTGCGGATGACAGGGGTGACAGAGGAGTAGTAGCTGACCATGGTCTGTGCTGACTCCTCAGTGTTCATCTCCAGGAAGGCCTGTGAGGAGATAACACAATAAGACCAGGCACAATGTTGTACATCAAAGCAGGGTAATCATATTTTGTGGGAAATGAAAGGAAGCTGCACTTTTTACCTGGTTCTTTCCTTTCAGCATCAGAAGATTGGTCACTTTGCCAAAAGGAAGACCCAAAGAAATAACTTCTGCTTCATTTATGTCATTTGGCAGTTTGCGTACATGAATGACCTGCTTCATTTATGTCATTTGGCAGTTTGCGTACATGAATGGCTCGTGAAGGAATGCCTGGGCTCCTGATGTCCCCTTTGAACTTCTTGCTGTCATTACCATTTGCTGACAGGAAGAGACAGTCTCAATTTCATTTCATTCAATACTAAAAAGTTTGAGGTTGGTAAGAATTAGTAATTCTTAGTAATATAGTTTAAGTTATGCAACATTATTCATGTGATTGGCAAAGCTGAATTTTCAGCAGCCATTACTCGGGTCTTCAGTGTCACATTCTTCAGAAATTCTAATATGCTGATTCACTGCTTAAGAACACCTTTCTTATTACAATTATGTTAATGTTAACTGTTGTGCTGCCTAATATTTTTGTGTAAACTTCGTTTTGTTTTTTTTCAGGATTCTGATGAACAAAGTTTAAAAGAATAGCATTTGTTTTAAATCAATTTGATCTACTTTTGATAAAAACAGTCAAAAAAGCCTACCTGCTCCAGAGCTCATTATATAAGGTCCGTTAGATATGCAGGAGGAAAAGAGTTCGTCAGATCCTCTCTGAAAGGACAAGGGAAGTGGTTCATTAATCAGGATGCATTTACAAGGTTTGCAAAATAGGACACTCAAACCTCAAAACAGAAGAACCTAAACACACTGCAATACCATTTGATGTAAACCACCTGAACAAAAATAAGGTCACGTAACTGACAAAATATGTTTAAAAAAAAAGAAAAAAAAAAAAAAAAAAAAAAAAAAAAAAAAAAAAAAAAAAAGAGATGAGATATTGCCTTAAAGAAAAAGGAGCCAGAGAAGCATGCCTGTACAGGGCTCCAGACTGCGACTAAAACAGTCGCATTTGCGACCAAAAATATTAATTTGCGAGTGAAGTTTTTGCTGAGGTCGCCACTGACAACTGTGTACACTAAAAAATGCTGGGTTAAATGCAACCCAGCACTGGGTAAAATATGGACAAACCCAGCGATTGGGTTGTTTTTGACCCAGCGGTTTGGTTACTGCCCAGAAGGTTGGGTTAAACATTTAACCCAACTGTTGGTTGAAAACAACCCAATCGCTGGGTTTGTCCATATTTAACCCAGGATGTTTGTATATTTACACTGCCGTCCAGTAATCGCAATAAGCTTTGTTACTTTTTAATAAACAAATTATCAGCTTTAACATTCTGCCAAATTCATAACGAAATTCATACAATAAATACAGTTTTGGCGCTCTTTAATGCGGCAGGCGCAATCGCTTTAGCGCCTCAGTTCAAGCGGCAAGTGAACCTATTATATCTTCCTCTACTATAGTACGAAATGAACGTGAATTAACATCAAAAGTTAGGCTATTTTATAAGAGAACCTACAGTACAACGTATTGAAATGTCTCATGTAATCGCTCATTCTGTCAAACTGCAGAAAATGTGAAAAGCTTGTAAACAATGCCACGTAACAATACATTTACCTAGCATCAATCAGCTAGAAAAAAACTATAAAGAGGAGCATTTTTCTATATTTATTCACTATTGCATACTAATATTTTTATTTAACCTGTTGTCTACATCAGTGTTTCCCAACCGGGGTGCCGCGGCACCTTGGTGCCGTCTGTCGAGAGCAGGGGTGCCGTGTAAAAAACTCTTAATATTTTTAAATTGCTAAAATGTTCAAAAAAAGCATATACAGGTGCATCTCAATGAATTAGAATGTCGTGGAAAAGTTCATTTATTTCAGTAATTCAACTCAAATTGTGAAACTCGTGTATTAAATAAATTCAATGCACACAGACTGAAGTAGTTTAAGTCTTTGGTTCTTTTAATTGTGATGATTTTGGTTCACATTTAACAAAAACCCACCAATTCACTATCTCAACAAATTAGAATATGGTGACATGCCAATCAGCTAATCAACTCAAAACACCTGCAAAGGTTTCCTGAGCATTCAAAATGGTCTCTCAGTTTGGTTCACTAGGCTACACAATCATGGGAAAAAAGCATCTATTATATAATATCCATTTCTGATGTCGCCAATAATTAGAGATGCACCGAAATTTCAGCTGCCGAAAATGAGTTCACCACTCAGGTTTCGCTTTCACATGGTGTGACGCTCTGCGTATTATCCCGCTCTATGCGTGTGCGCTCCACTCAGTCGCTCCACTCGTATACCGTGCATGCTCATCGGAACAGCAAAGTCCACTCAAAACTTGAGCCTACAGGAAACATCGATGTAGTACAGTATTGTTTCTGTCTGCAATAAGCCCTACTGTGTTGTAACATGGTGTGGTATATGGGCAACTCAAGCAATTTATTTAATTCGAAGGCCTGTCGTTATTTTTTATTTGTGCTATCATTATTAATTTCTTTATTTGTTCTTATTTTATTACTGACTGCTTGCCTGTCATCTTTTATTCAATTCAAAGTTTGAAATCAATCTCGTGCTACTGCACCAAAATTACCCCACCGTAAAATCAAAAATACACTGAGTGAGCAAAAATTTGTGAGATAGCTAGTTATAATGGTAATTAAATAATGTTTACATGTGTATAAAAGCCTACATTAAAATCTGTCATATAAATTGGTCTTTTCATTAGAAATTAGCCTACTGATTGCCACCATTGATGGACAATATTTAAATAATATTAAAAATATCTGTATGACATTATATTCTGCAGTTCTTCCCTGTTGTACCGAATATCTATACTTTTCAAATTATCATATCGAAGTTAGAAATTCAAATATTGTGAAAAAATTAATTTTGTAGGGTGCCACAAGTTTGTTAAAATTTCCAAAGGGTGCCGCGACTAAAAAAAAAGGTTGGGAAACACTGGTCTACATGAAAAAAAAAAAAGCAAGAATGCAAGCTAAAGATAAAATTCAACACGTCCTATAAAATTGCATGACACTAATAAAGAAAAACAGACTGGATGTGTGAGAGATATGACAACATTTCTATAGAATGCATTGAGGAGGAGCCCAAACTAACACTGTAAAAAGTGATCAGTTGACTTTTCTTTACAAAATTGGGAAACCCGTTGCCTTAAAATTAGGTAAATAAACTTAATGCATAATTAAAGAAATGCATTAAGTGAACTTTACAATTCTGAGTTACACTGACAAATAACAGTTTGAAAATGTGTTCAATTCAATTTATTAAATTGCAATTACTTAAGTGTACACTCAATTGCCAAGTGATGCTTATGGTCCATGATATTGGTACAGATTCTGTGTAATAAACAATTCTTTGTGACTGTACATTTCAAGTTGGAAAAGACGTTTAGATCCCAGGTCATCTACAAGATAGATTCAAATGCTGATAAAGTCAAGAAAAGATTAGACAAACACATGATTGTATGATTGAAATGTCAAAATGTAAAAAAAAAAAACAAAAAAAAACCCACGCGTTTATTCTGTGGCACCAAAAAAATATTTTTTTTTCTTATAGGAGCCAATGGCTCCTTACTCTATTTTTTTGACTGGAGCCCTGCTGTAAGGGTTAAAATAGAATCGGACACAGAATTATAGAAAGTCATGTGACAAAGATTTGCATCCGCCTAACCGTCATCTGATTACACAATCATTAAGATGACGCAATTGGAATACATTTCCAAAATGACAAAAATCAATTTTCTTTGCCTAATGGTTACAACTATTCGTGTCCCAGGCATCTATACACAAGTGCACTACACAGTTTACTGCTGGTAAAAGCAGAACAAAGAAAGAGAAAGGCAAACAGAGGCAGCTGTGTCCTGCCATAACACTAATACAAAGTCTCTCACTCAAGGCCAAGCTGGAGCCACTTGGCTGGCCAGTGGAGCAATGAGCAAATCATTCAGCATCACTCTCTTAATAAACCACTTCAAATGGCTAGTCTCTGCTGAAGTGGTCACATGCGCTGGCTAAGCCAAAGCCTTTACACTATTACCACAATGCATGTTCTGTTCCAGCCCAAAGGAAAGTATTGTTACCAAAGCTGAACGCCTGGTCCCCCCACCCACAGTCTACTACAAACAGCCTCAAGGGCACTTTACCACACCCTGGATAAAGTTTACCTAAAACACAGCCCCGAAGGCTCAATAAGCAGCCTACAGCATAAACACAATCAATAGTGTGACACTACATTCCTCCCAGCTTAAACCTGCAGGAGTCAGGTTTCAACACATCACTTTCACAGAGCAGTTATGACAGGAAAGCCTTCTCTGGTTGAACCATCCATTGTTTTCGAGTGAGACATCCACCCAACTCCAGCATTTCCTTCCTCTATTTTTAACTGCGGGGCATTGCAGCTTGAGCACTCGCTTAGGACAGGAGCAAAAACGAAGCAGAGAACCATGACTCCCACACTGGTCTCTAGGAGCTCAAGACTTGCAGGTGCCAACATGTTTACATCCATTGACAAAGTGCAAGCCTCCTGGGTGAGAGCACAGTCTGTGTTGAATAAGGGGGTCAGGGAGACAGGAATGCAACCACAGCATTCCAGCCACAGTAATTAGTGCTCAGACTCCGACAGGGCTGCGACTCAATCTACTACATCTCTACTCCTCCGCACATGTGTGAAAGACATCAGGGGGAACAACAGCAGGCGGTTCTCTGTGCTCAAACAAGTGCAAATGAGTGTGAAAAAAGCAATATTGTAAACGAATAACTGTATGCAGCAAAATCACAAGTAAATTCCCCAGGTCACCATTTACGAATTGTCTACAGAACAATTACAAGATTTTAGTGTAGGCTACTTCTTTCACCTTTGGGTCACTTATCACAGTGACTGTTTAAACAGCAGGTGACCTTTGACTAGAGTAATTACAGTCGCAGGATCAAATGCAGATGGGACAAGAATTTCAGGCTCAGCAATTTAGAGCAGTTCCCTTTGTCTCAGCAATTTAGGAAAAGAGGAAGGTATAACCTCTAAAACCAGATATACAACCAAAACTAGTAGTGTTACTGAACACCTGTAACAAACAATTAGGGAAAATCAACATTTATCCATAAAAAAAAAAAAAAAGTTTGAAAAATAAAATGACATACCTTTGTGCCAACCGTTATATCATGGACACTGCTACAAAAGAACAAAAGTTAAACAGAATATTAGAAAATACAGAAGTCTTGATGCTAAAGTACATTTGATGGCAATGCAGCAAAAGACAGGCCTATGCAATATTTTAAGTTGCGATGCAATAGAAGCAGAGACAATAGTTTCTTCCGTATTGTGACGTAAATTTGAGAGAAACGGACTATTGAAAAAAGCAGGGTGGGCACTTGGTTCTACCCATCAGTTGTTGATTGGACGGAGGCAAATTTGAATAAGACATGTAGAAAGGGGTGGGGTTTAAGTGTAGTAAATGATTGAAGTTTGTCATTTCATCGGAACATTGACTTACGATTGTAATAAATTGAGGTAAAAAAAAAGAAAAATAGAAAGTGCATTTTCATTTTATGCCGACTTCGCATGCATGCTAAAAATGACCAAATCACTGAAGGTCACCAAGTCACTGTGCATTGCCAACAAAATTGGCAAATCTTACTGAAAATGAATGATATCTGTTAAGAGTTCAGCTTTATGCTGATAATCAGCAACAATGCAGTGACTACCAATGTGAGTGCAGACAGACCTGCCATAAAGTTTGACACAGTGACTTGCCATCCTTCAATGATTTAATCAGTGTGAACAGGGCTCAAGATACTTACTGATACAAAAATGTCAAATGCTAATGTAGATTTATATTAGGTTACATAATAGATGATTTTTATTTTGAATATGGGCCCAGGAGGAACAACAGACGGCTGTTGTACAAAAGAAGTGTTAAATTTTAAGGCTGCACCTTCTAGGCGGCAACCTGATACACAAGGCAAACAGTAAAACAAAGCAGGCCTGTTAAGCCACTCTTTCTGCCAATATCAATGTTTTCACGCTTTTCTTGGAAACGTATCTTGAATTCTTCAGTTTAGGTCAATTCAGGTGATAATGCAGTACAACCAGTGAATATTTATAGAAATGCAAAACTTACTCTATTTCAGTGACGTAACTGGATCCCAGAGGATACAGATCAGTCTCTAAACGGCTGCAGAAAACAAAAACAGGATTTTTTTGTCATGTTTTAAACCTGTACGTTTTTTTCTATAAAAAAAGAAAAATAGAAAGTGCATTTTCATTTTATGCCGACTTCGCATGCATGCTAAAAATGACCAAATCACTGAAGGTCACCAAGTCACTGTGCATTGCCAACAAAATTGGCAAATCTTACTGAAAATGAATGATATCTGTTAAGAGTTCAGCTTTATGCTGATAATCAGCAACAATGCAGTGACTACCAATGTGAGTGCAGACAGACCTGCCATAAAGTTTGACACAGTGACTTGCCATCCTTCAATGATTTAATCAGTGTGAACAGGGCTCAAGATACTTACTGATACAAAAATGTCAAATGCTAATGTAGATTTATATTAGGTTACATAATAGATGATTTTTATTTTGAATATGGGCCCAGGAGGAACAACAGACGGCTGTTGTACAAAAGAAGTGTTAAATTTTAAGGCTGCACCTTCTAGGCGGCAACCTGATACACAAGGCAAACAGTAAAACAAAGCAGGCCTGTTAAGCCACTCTTTCTGCCAATATCAATGTTTTCACGCTTTTCTTGGAAACGTATCTTGAATTCTTCAGTTTAGGTCAATTCAGGTGATAATGCAGTACAACCAGTGAATATTTATAGAAATGCAAAACTTACTCTATTTCAGTGACGTAACTGGATCCCAGAGGATACAGATCAGTCTCTAAACGGCTGCAGAAAACAAAAACAGGATTTTTTTGTCATAATGTTTTAAACCTGTACGTTTTTTCTAACTTCCATTGAATACAAAAGGAGATGTTATGTTCAATGACAGGTCTCGGTCACCATTAACTTTTATTGTAGACTGAAGGCTGTCGTTCTGCCTAACATCCGTTTCTGTTCTATTAAAGAAATTAATTTATAAAGGTTTGAAACATGGCGAGTAACATGGCAATTTACATTTTAAGCTAAATCTCCCCTGCGGATACAACGTGTACCTTTTATAATCAGCATAAGTATGTGCATGCTTTTAAATATAAATTTTTCGATTATACTTACACGTAAATAAAACGTTATTATTCAAACCCTTAAATCAAGATTATTTCTGAACCACCAGTGACATCTTCGCGTCATTATGTAAAACAGCTAACGTACTGTGACCGGACTTTCGCACGTTTATCAAACGTACTTAGTAATGATTGAAACATATGTAACGTGCATCGACAATACAAAAGAGAAAAGCACGAATAAAGTTGAACTGGCATCGGTTTAGCAGGCTAGCAGGTAATTAGCTAGCCACCCAACAACAATGCGGAAACCGAGACACGTTGGTTGCCAAATAGTGGCTGTTCTTTCGCTTCTGCACGTCACAAGCCTCGTTTGATCTTTTCCGCTTGAGAGTGAGGTTTAAAAAATCCTGTAGTTCTAGTTCGCTTGTGTTTTATGAAGCGGTCTCAACTAGACGACTTGCAACAGGTTGCTTGTCAGTTTGGTCCAACTTTTGTGCTCTTCCGGCTCGGGAGACATGAAGAGTGGCAGAGGCGAGTCAAAAATCACCATTTCCACTTCACTTCACGTCATTTAACACACTTTAAACGCGCATGATGTACTAATTCACAACTACGTATAAAATATCCAAAGACAAAAACGTGTTTAAGGGGTAACAAACTTGGAATGAGGGTGTTTTCAACTTACCCGTCCATGGCACTAACAAAACTACAGGTTGTCGTAGACGGGAGGTAGACCTGCTAGTATTTCTTATATCCTTACAAAATGGCGGAGGGGGGATTGGCGCTTTCTGATTAGTCCGTCGACCCCGAAGCGCCGAGTGTGGGAGGGGCTTCAAATGTTCATCGATAACGGGATTGGACAGAAAGGCTGTCAATCTGGAAAGGCGGTCGAAAAAAGTTTGCGAAAACTTTTCCCGGTTGACACCATGAGAAATGAGGTGGAGGAGTGAACTGTGCTTGAACCCATTATCAGCAACGACAAGGACGAGGCTGTTCAGTCAGAGAGAAAAACAGTTTTACATGACGCTTTGCTAAGATATTTAATTAGCTAAGAACAGTAAGGTTATAATGATATTTGAAGAAAATAGGGATTTGGGTGGCATAAATCAGCTGATATTTAGTCTAAAATTTAAATATGACTTTAGACCTAAAGACACTGAGCAATATAATTGATTAATTTCACCATGAAGCACATTTAATTGTTCTACAATTTGGCTTAGTGTAAATTTTTCACCCAAAAATGAAAATTCTATCTTCCGGCTTTTTCAGTCTTCCGAGTAACACAAAAGGAGATACTTTGAGGAATTTCAGTTTTGTCCACATGAATGTCAGTGATTAGTTTGGTTAACAGCATTCCTCAAATAAATCTTGTTGTGCTCCCACACAAGAAATAAAGCTTAGAAAGTGTATGACACTTGAATTGGAACAACACAGGATGAGTAAATGATGGTGAATTGTTACGTTAACTTAAGCCATTTTGTCATTGAGATGAATGGCAAATGATAGCCTCATTTACTTTAATTCACCAAATTGTTACTGCCGATGTATTCAGATTCAAAATCTTTTTTTATTGGTCTTATGAAGTATTCTAATTTGTTGAGATAGTGAATTGGTGGGTTTTTGTTAAATGTGAGCCAAAATCATCACAATTAAAAGAACCAAAGACTTAAACTACTTCAGTCTGTGTGCATTGAATTTATTTAATACACGAGTTTCACAATTTGAGTTGAATTACTGAAATAAATGAACTTTTCCACGACATTCTAATTTATTGAGATGCACCTGTATATTGAGACGTTCATCTTATTTTTCTTAAAACAAAATGCAGATGAGGGCCACAAAAATGTTCTTTTAACCGTGTTGTTGTCTAAAGTGGAATCTGTTGTGGTTCTCATTTTTCTGTTCTTCAACAAGCAAAATACTGGACTTCATAAGATTACATAATGAAAATATATGTATATATAGATATATAAATGTCAAGACAGAAATATATAAAAATATTAATAGAAATAAAAAAGAAATACATACTAAACAACAAAAGTTAACTATAAGTATACGGGGTATACTTATTCATTGTTGTGTTATGGTCAGGGGGTCAGAGTCTAAACTTCAGGGTGAGCGGTCGCACTCACATGACTGTGCAGCACTTGCACGGCTGCTTTTCTTTCGAATTGCCTTCTTCTTTCGATTCCTTCTTCTTGGCTTCATCCTGAGCTTTGTCGGGACTGGAGGCGCTGCCGTTAGGTGGGGCCTGGTCCTCTTTGGCCCCTTCATTTCCAGCTTTGCTCTCGCCGTCCTCAATGACCACAAATTCAGCTTTCACTGTCTCCTCTATGCCCAGTGCCTTCTTGGTTTCAGCCTCATCCTCTACATTCTTGTAGCCCATGAACACCATGGTGACGGGATGCTCTGCGCTGGCATTCTCAATGGCTACATCAGGGTTGGTGCACTGCAGTTTGGCCTCAATGCCTGTGATCTGTTTCTTGCTATTTTGATCTGCGTTAGGGCTGGGCTGCTGTATGCCATTCTCAACTGCTGGGGACAGAGAAATAGACTCATTTTACTTGCACTACTGTTTAAGCCAAATGGAATAATCAGTTAATGATTTTAAATGAAACTGCTATTCAGTATTTATACGAACATTCATTGAACTCTGTTAGACCCGTTGGCTCTTTCACATGACAACAGTGAAATTACACAGTGGCCATTACTGCAAACAAACTGATAACAAGTCAATCCTTTCTGTTACATTTATACAGAGATGATGGAGAACTGAAAATATTAAAATATACAGCGTATTTCCACACTCACCCTTCACTGGACCATCAGGTGCCTAGTAGAGAATACATATGACAGAAAGTCATTATTATTATCAGAATTAAAACCTTTACTAAACTAACAAAAAAATCACATTGAGCAAACTTAATAGCTTACATTTTCTCCTTTATTCAAAGGCTCTCCACTCTCAAGCTCATCAATCTCCTGTTCTAGTCTGTTAATGGAAAAGATAAGCGAACATGTGAGCAACGTATGCTAGAATTTTGTCTGGGACTAAGGAAGGTATCAAATCACTAAATGACTGGTCTTAACCTGAGGATGGTCTGCTCCAGTAGTTTGGTCTTGGCTTCATCCTCTTGTAGTTGTTTCTGTGCCTCATCCTCTCCACTGGATGGCGCTCCGTCCAACAGCCATCGCTCTCTCAATGCCTTTGACTGTTAAAACAAACCAATGGCTTAGAGATGTCTTTTTAGAGGAGTTAACATCACTTCAACAGCATAAACATCTTGCAAATACTATACAGTAATATTATGAAATATTACAATTTAAAATGTTTTTGTATTTAAATATATTTTAAATTGTAAATTATTCACATGATTGCAAAGCTGAATTTTCAGCTTCAGTGTCACATGATCCTTCAGAAATCTAATATGGTGCTCATTTTTGTAGAAACCGTGATACATTTTTTTTGTCTTCAGTATTTTATTGATGGATAGAAAGTTCAAAAGAACAGCATTTACATTATAAATGTCTTTCCTGTAACTTTTAACCAGTGTAATGCATTCTTGCTGAGTAAGTGTGTGTATATGGTCCCTATATCATGTCCCTAATTGCATGATATTGACAAAATTAATGCTTGAAAAATGAGTTAATGTCAGTCTGATTCATTGTGCTGACGTAAACAAATCTGCACCATTAAGGTTAGTGTAGCACATGACCATTAGCTGTCCATTAGTTTTTCACTTTAGGGCATTCTCCATGGCTACTAATGCACAATATGCACATTTCTGGATAGTGAAACATTTTGACAGGCGCCTGCTCAAACAGGGCTTCCTGCCAGAGCAGGGTTAGACTGGCAGGACCAGAATGAACCACTGCTGTCTAAAGAGAATTCTGACATCTGTGTCTGGCACAAGGATGGAAGATATTTCGGGTACAAGCATAGGTGGCACTAGAGATGGCAATGCACTAGAATTAGAAATACAAGGCATCCTGGCACACTGGATGTCTATAGAGTCCCTTTGCATCCAGTCACCTGTCATACAGTATAATAAAAAAAAACAAAGACCGCCCTACTTTTTTTTCCCCACTGAATATCATGTTTCATTCAGTTGTCACATTATGAGACAAATGCAAACAGAGCACTAGTGATTAATGGCATAAGCTTTTTTATGACAAACAAATTTATCATTACAAACTGCTGCTGCCACCAGTGCTGTTTCTGTTCTAGTGCAGCAGAGACAGAAGAGACTGTTCAACCTGCAGCAGATAAAAACAAACATCTGCTGAACATCAAATAGTGAACCCAAGACCCATGATAAGACAAAACAGAAGAGAAACATCACAAAGCTCTTGATAACACCTGTTGTTTCATAAAGAGCTTAAAACTTGCACAAAAAGGAAGCTGAGATGTAGGTGATGACATTATTTGAGAATTAGATTAAGTCACAAACTTCTAGAATTTGATACAGTTGCTTTCAGGTTTGATGCCTTTTTTTCCTTTAATTCTTACGGTTTCTACTGTACAGAGAGTGGTGTCTGAGCTCTGCAAGGCTGACATCTGAAAGATTCATTCCGACAGGCCTCTAGAGAAGAAAATGAAAAGAAAGAAAAAACTAAGAGTGGGATGAAAGGAGGAGAGGAAACGTGAGGTGAAAACCACAAAATAACAAAAGCATGAAGACGAAGGTCAATGGACAAACAAGGGACCTCATCTGCTAGACTAGAAAGAAGAGTATGGTAAAAAAAAAGATAAAGACATCAGAGGTGTTGAGTAATAGTAAACCATACAAGCAGCACAGCATCCATCGTTGCATTGTAAATCTGAGGTCTGACGATGTCTTTTCTTATAGCAAGTCCACTCTTGAAGGGGTCCTATTATGCTCTTTTACAAAGTCTTGATGTTGTTTTGGGGGTGTACTAGAACGTGCTCTCAAACTAGTTTGTTCGATATTTGTGATATCACAAATCCCGGAAAATATGCGTTGTAGTACAAACGAGGCGTTCGTTGTAGTTTTTGAAAAGTGATTTCTGTTAAATAAAATATCTCCTTTTGAAGTGGACTTTGAGCTTTGTAACTTTGCAGATCTTTTTTATGCTCAAACAGCAACATTACAGACTAACTAAAGTTGAAAAAGTGAAAAAGCATAATAGGACCCCTTTAATAATTTTATAACCACTATGCTTAAGACACTTCTTCCCTAGTTGCTAAAAAAGTGAGTGTGCGATTAGTTTTTTAAAGGCAAGTGAACTCAAATATATTACTGAATGGACAAAAAACCTCATCATAACAAGGAAAAAAAAAAAAAAAAAAACGATTCGCAGAATGTCAAAAAGAGTAATTCATGGAAAAAGCACAGTCACATGAACTAAAAAAGACTGAGGCAATTACTGACATTATTGTGTGCAGTCTGAAAATGACCAAATGGAAAAACATGAGATCTTACATTTTGCCTTCTTAAAATGTCTTACCTACTCCCTATTCTTATGAAACTGGGTCAGTATCAGACGTAATCCTTCACATAGAATTAGCAACAAGTTACTTCATTTTGTATAATATCTTGTGACTTCCACATTCAAAACAGTCCAAAATGACCCTCTCCTGCTCTCTCAGCCCCCTCCCTCTGCTTTGGCTTTGTGACCGCAACTTCTGGCATGGTGACAGATATGATGACATCACCACATGTTCACACCCATCCACATGCACACGCAATACAATCCCAGCACAGAGGGAGGACAAAGGATCTGAGTCTCGCTCG